AGCGAGAGAGAGAGAGAGAGAGAGAGAGAGAGAGAGAGAGAGCGCTCGTGCTTTTTCAAATGACGTCACACACACATTTAACGGCATTCATTTAACTGTTGAGTAAAATATACCATAACTGGCAGTAAAAAAGTCGAAAAACATTGTTCGTGAAAATACTAGATTGGGTGCATGTACATCTGTACTGGAAAAGGCAGTCAGTCAGTTGCAGGACAATTGAATGAGTTTCATGAAAGCGGCAGTTTTTGAGGAAAACGAACATTTCCCTCAGACTGTCCTAGTAATAGCCTATAATTTGATTTTATATTTACTTTCTTCATATTTTAAAATTTCATTGATATTGGTAATGGTTTACGTTTTAAAAGTAAGTGAAAAGTAGGCTACTTACCACAGGAAAACTCGCAGCTGACGTCTGGCGATTCACTCAGAGGGGAAGTCCGTCATGTGCGCACCGGACACAAGCCTCAGTTTATATAACCTCTGCCAGGTTGTTGCGCGGGCTTTGCGCGCGAATAAAATTTAAATGTTGTGGGGTGTAAGCAAAGTTTATATATTTTATTTTTTAATCATTTTAAAAATACATTTATTTCACCACACTTGTGCTTACCCAGACATTAAATTGAGAATGCAGATTCATGTTTTTCATCAGCAGAACAATTTACAGTAGCACTACTGCTTTTGAGCAAACAGTAAAGTACCGCAGATTCCCATATACAGTAAATTACAGTAAATGGCATAAAATACCCATAATGCAGTGCATATTTTAGTAGTTAACCGTAAAACACATATATGGTAGTTTACTGGGCTTTTTTGCGGTAAGTAACTGTAAAATTACAGCAAAGTCTAACAGTTTTTATATTGTGCTTAACAAGCACCACTTACTAACAAATTAGTCCGTCTTGAGTTGTGACACATTTTCATATTCCTCTGTGTTTCCTTGTACATATCACATGTAAATAACCTGAAGCAGTGCCCGTCAAAGTACAAGCAGTAATGCAAAATCTCTACAGATTTCTACCATTACATGCCATCCAGGCACACACAGACGTTTCATGTATAGACGCTTTATAAAAACTTTGACTACTGTACAATCAACCGCATAACCTTTGAGACTAAAAGCAAAGCTCTCTATCCGAACCCCACACGCAGGGACTGAGGTGCAGCGTGGGCGAATGAACAGATAAATTTTTCACGAGCAGATAAAGGTTCATTATGGTTACTGTATAAACCCACCCTACTCTTCACACAAAAATAATCTATTGATTTCTGACTACAGCCAGACACTGCAAGCACTTGTCAAGGATTAGCATGTAATGAATTCTACCACAAACCTTACTGAACACTGGTTTTAGGAACAGTAGGTGAATATATTAAGATAGAAGTTCTGATCTACTGTCTACACAGACAGCAGGCTTCTGAGGCAGAGCCCGAACTGTCATGGGACCCTATAAAGTGACTGATTTGGAAATCTCTACATTCTGTAGGTTTGATGCAGGACATTGGTGTGCCATACAAATGCTGGCAAATTCAGGGTTATCATGCACCTGTTTTTTTGAGTAGGCACCAGTGACAGTTCTAGCACTTCTTCCTAAATCTTCCCAAGTCAAGAAGTGTGGTGACTTGTCGTATGCATAGGGACCAGGATCAAATCCTGTTGTAGTGTAAACTCTTATAATCGATCAAACAAAACTTGCCAGTTATCATTTTGCATGTACATGTATGGAAAACAGCAGAACTGAATTTTTGATAATACTATTTGTTTCACTGAAAAATCTGAAGCCTGAATAAAAATAACTAACTATCATTATTTAAAAAAACTTTGCTTAAGCTTTCATTTCAGTAATTACTGCAATGTCTTCAGACACAGTCATATAGACGGTTTCAACGGCAACAACATAAAGAAACATTACTGCACATGCGCGCTTTTGTGGCCCAAACGTAACTTCCTGTAGACTTCCACAAAGAATCAATAACAACAGAAAAGTCCCTCTAGAGTAGATTATTTCTGATAACAAGCAAAATATGTTTGCTGCGTAATTCAGACGGGCTTATTGAAAATGCAAATTCATTCTCTGCCAGCAGGAGGCGCTTTTGTAGCGGGAGAGATAGAGGTTTCCCCGGTAACGGCTGTACACAAAGCAGCGGTCCACTCACAAACACTGCTTTATCAGACATTACATGCAAGATGAAATGAAAATGACATCGAAAATTTTCTGAAGACGTGTGATATACAAACACCTGCGCCGCAGCGTTTTGATTTTGAAATGTGCATTGCTCATGTTTATTGAATAAAATCAAAGCCTTTTGTAAAATCTATTTGAGGTTTTGATATTGTAGCGGGTCGCCACAAATAAATAAATGTATGGAAAATGCATCCCACAGCACAACAACCTGAGCCCAACTTCAGTCTGTGTACTGTGTGTACAGTACTGTGTTTGTAGTCGGCGCCACTAGCCAGACCGATAAACAAACTCAAACCGGAAGTTAACTTCGGGCCAGGGCATGTGCGGCCAATGAAACCGTCTATACTTTTGAATAATGAACTGAATTGAGAACATGCATTTAAGGCCTACTCACTGTAGATAAAACATATAAAAATGTGCTGCACAATATTCTCTGATTATTTTGTGAGAAAACAGCAGTGCAGAAAGCATCTGATCACAGTTATGGATGTTTGCACAAGTTCTGCAATTTGACACTCCAGTAAAGCAGAGTTTCAGAAGTGATTTTTTTTCATCAACTTGACAGGTTATTATTATTATTATTATTATTATTATTATTATTATTATCTCTTGTTTAATTTGAAATTAAATACGCTGCTAGACAATAACCAATAAATTATGTTCTATAATATTGTTCCCCTATATTTTCCTAATGACAATTTTATGATTGGTTTATATACTACAAAAATTTTTTTTTCCTCATTTGAATCACAGAATAAGGCAGAACATATTTTTTATAGTTTCAATACTTTAATACATGCTATGCCAGTTAGCACTGATTTATTCCCATATTTATTTATTTATTTATTATCTGGAGATGACTTGAGAAACACACCTAAACTATACACTCACCGGCCACTTTATTAGATACACCTGTTCAATTGCTTGGTAACACAATCACAATAGTGTATTTATCGTCTTCACGTTTCATCAATCAAAACGTTTCTGCTTTTTATTCTGCTCAGCCACAGCGATAGCTGGAGGCCTTTGTCCATATTAGTTATTTTTGGCATTCATAAATTGTTATTACTTCTATGAGTCTGTTTTGGACTTTCTGCACGAGAGCACCTTCCAGTAGATTGCTTTAAAGCAAGCAGCTTTACAGTATTAAACATGAAAAAACAGTGTAATTTCAGTCATAATTCAATACTGTATAGAACTTATAAAGTACTCCAGTGTTCATAGTTTTACTCACGTATGACCTCAATGGACTGAACAGAAGAAATTATCCAGAGATTTCCATTTACATAACTACAAACGGAACAAACTCCCAAAACAAATGCAAAGCAAACTAACTTTGCTTTAGCTTGATTCTGGTCAAAATTATGTCACACCAGTTCGTTCTTCAGTTTAGCTTGAAGTGTATTGTTATTCCATGAGTCACTTTGGTGCACTATTCATTTTGTATCTCTAATAATTGTGGAATCTAGTCAGTCAGGACTGGTGTAACTATAATTTTAGACCACTGGTGGCCCAAGAGCTGCCTGTCTGATATCTCTTGCTGTCGAATGTGGCATTCCATGCTTTGCACTTTGTGTTTGGCATTTAGAAAGCAGCATTCAGATATCACAGCATCTAGGATTTTTAGACATGAGTAAATTCATTTCTTAAAGCTTGCAAATCAATATCAGATGATGCACACATACTACAGATACTATATATGGATATTTGCTTGTTTTATAAAATGTCAAGAAGATGCACTTTCATTTTTGAGATACAGAGATGCATGTTCTGCTGTCACATTCTCAGCCTCACTCATGAATCACACACTTCATATAAGCTTTCCTCTTTATGATTTTGTGTTTCTGTCAGAGATAGTACATTAGGGCTTTGAGGTTGTAAAATATTGTCATCCATCTCTATGCTGTGCTTTTTATTTTTTTTTATTTTATTGCAGAAACGTATAACATATTCAGTAACTGCAGAGTAGTTGCTGGCAATGGTATAGATAGCATTTAGCCGGATAGCTTAATGATTTCTCTCTCCTATCTCAGCTTAATATGCAGAGTCAACTGCAACAGTGGCGTGAGTTTGGAGACAACAATGGCGTGAGTTTGGGACGGCTTTATCTGTTTGTTTGAGCAGTGGAGGACAAGGGGGGGTGTTTGGAAAAACACTTTTTTTTTTTTTTGCAATTTTGTTTGGTGATGCTAGTGGCACAGAAATTACTCACTTTAAATGGAATAAGTCAGAATATAGACTGTTGTCAGAATGTTGTTGAAATGTAATTGACATATCATTAATTGATAATAATGCATGCTTTCTCTGTCTCTCTTTCTCAGGGGTATCAGCGCTCCAACCATTTCATCGCCACACAAGGTGAGCCTTTATAAATCTGTTGCTCTGAAATCACTTGTGTATTTGTATTGTGTGGCGTATTATAGTTGTTGATAAAAAATTTACCTCTAAATGTGTGTGTGTGCCCCAATTCTAGTACAAAGGTCTGAATGATTCATATGCAGATATTGTTTTTGCCGTTTGATCTTATTTTTCTCTCTGGCATCCAAACACAGCAGCACTTGCTTCTGATTAACTGCTCGTTATGTCGCTCTCTTCCTTTGTGAAGGTGACTGATTAGGATGATTCTTTTTGTGTATTCAAATACAGTTGATCAGAGTCTAGAATTGAATCTGGCTACACTTTATTTTGATAATCCACTTTAGACATTATACTAACTATAAGTACCCTTGCAACTACTAATTCTCATTCATTTGCAACTACATGTCTACTAACTCTCAGAATAGACTGTTAGGTTAGGTTTAGGGTTAGTGGAATAAGTTGAAATAGTCAGTATGTTGTGGATCCATCAAAATAAAGTGTTAGAAGATATTAAGCAGTAGTTATATATACATTATACATTCGTTTGCGCAACCTTCTGATCCAGGGCACAACAGCTGTAGTTCATGAACGAACTGTTAAGGCATGGACTGTCAACTGAAAATGTAATATGCTATTATATAACATATAAAGCATCAGCATCGTAAACATCAGTGTCAGCCCGATAGGAAAAATTATGGTGATATGCCAAATGAGCTCATTGTGTGCCAGCAGTGTGGTTATTCTTAAAGCAGACTTTCGCCTGGAAGGTGATTAGATTCACTTTTTTATATACACACATTTATTTAGAGAATACACATACAGAATGATGCATCCGGTTTGTGGTCATGAGTCTGTTTTAATTTAAAGCTGTAGTTTGCATGAATAAAAATCACAAACATTACACAAGATTTATTAATTAATGTCTAACATATATTTTTACATGAATTTTTAAATGAATTATGAATATATATATATATATATATAATAGCAAATATACGATACATATCACGATACAGATGCCACGATACGATACGTATCACGATAGGGGACTGCATTGAATTTCACCTCAGAACAGTTTAGTAAAACAGCTGTATTAAACACTGCATATTATAGTGCAATTTCTAACTAGTGGCAGAGCAGGCAGTTGACCTCTGCATTATGAAGGGCCTCCATAACTGTACCACAGTACAATATAGGTAATGGCATATGTTTCATGTTTACATTGGGGCACTCCCCACCAGGTACAATATTCGGATTGTTTGCATCTTGTTTTTAAGCCCATAAATAATAATGTACTCGTTCTAATAAATGTATATTGTAATGTACTAATTCTAATATATTTAAATCATCTTAACATTGCTGGTAGGTTATCATTGCACAAATTAACACACTCTCTACATTTAAAAAACAAAAAATTAGAAGAGTTCTAAACTAATGCGCTGTCTTCTGTATCTAACGCACTTTAGTCAC